ACTCTACCCAGGCGGACAGCTTGAGGCTCTGTCTCAAAAAAAAAAAAAAAACTTATGTTTCCAATGTGTTAATTGCTATTGTAATAGTAGAAGTCTTATTTGTCAAATTACGGCAGTGTATTGTAAGAATAGAAACCTAACTTTGTTTTCAAACATTTAGGTGTGCTATTTATTTTATGTTGGTCTAAAGAAGTCGTTAAGTAGGGCCCCTCTTTCTTAACATAGGTATGACAAATTGAGAAGTAAGCAAGCAGTAAGACAAACAGAAACCCAGAATGTCACTTTTAGTTCTGATAGAGATTTGGAGGACATTGCTTCGTGTGAGAGCAACTGGTCTAGCATCGAACCCCAAATGTCAAGAAGTTGGCCCTGTACCCCATTTACAATGACAGCACTGGACTGGGATAGGCCTCTGGGCATCTTTCTCTAGTAGAGATGTGGGCTTGCTCAGTGCTAAGCAGGGGCAGAGCCTATGGTCTTCTCTCTGGAGGAGCAGAACACCTCTTGTTCTTGGCCAGTGGGTTGGCTATAAAAGAAGAAAAGCTGCCTTTATTATGCCCACTTATTCTTTGTTTTATTTCTATTTTGAGATAAGAGTCTCACTCTTTCACCCTGATGCCATGGCATCATGATAGCTCACAGCAACCTCAAACTCTTGGGCTTAAGCAGTCCTCTTGCCTCAGTTTTTCCTGTTTCTAATAGAGATGTGGTCTTGCTCAGGCTGTTCTCCCAATTCCAGAGCTCAAGCCATCTGCCTACCTAAGCCTCCCACAGTTCTAGAATTACTGATGTGAGCCGCCACACCCAGCCTATTTATTCTTACTATTCTAATACACATCCACTACACCTTCCCAAAAGTGATGATAAAGAGGGAGAGAACCATAAGTCAAACACTACTGGGGCTTTCTCTACTTAAAAGGAAACTTGAGTAGGTTAAGAGGTGTTCCTAGGAAACTGTCCTTTCAGAGATCACTTTACTTCTTCATTGGCTTAGTACAGAATTGAGAGTTCCAGTTACAACCACAGAATGTTGTTTCCATTGTTTCGTTAATCCTGGATTAGGGATTACCTACTCAGACCAAAATTCATGAGAGAGCAGTGCCTGTGAAGATGTTTTATGTCACAGACTATGTTGTGACTTTCATCAACTTCATAAATGTTCACTGATTTTTCACAGGACCTAGATATTGATCCAAAAGATGCAAATAAAGGCACACCTGAAGAAACTGGCAGCTACTTAGTATCCAAGGATCTTCCCAAGCATTGCCTCTACACCAGACTCAGTTCACTGCAGAAATTAAAGGTTACTACTTTTCCTGTTTGTAGCTGCTAGTGGAAAACTTTATGAAACTGGAATTTGTGTTAGTACAGACCATAGAGGTACTGCTTCATTGGGTAGTAAACTGAAGTAGAGAGAGCAGATCTAAAGTGGGTCTTACCAGTGACTCTTTATATTCTGTCCCTGACAGTGGCTGGAGGACTTTTGTATGAGAGTATATGTGTTTATCCTCCATAATGTTGAAAAATTAGGAAATAGAGTATATTTTACTTTTAAATGTCTTAGCATTTTCAGATAATTATTTCCTAGTTCTATGACTGTCACAAAACATACATAGCAAATTAGAACTGGAATTTCTTTTTAATCTCGTCTCATTTCTGGTTGACTTAAAAATGAGAAGCTAGTTCTCTCTAGTTGAGCATACCCATAAAAGCATATTCTTGCAGAAATTGAGTTTTTGATTAGTTAGTAACTGTATGACCTTAGAAGGTATCAGCCAAAATTTAGGGACTGGAATGGGCCCTATTAACGGCACATAAGGACAACAGAAATCAGTAAATCTGTTGTTGTCACCCTGTTCGTAGTTCATCTGCTTAAAGTCTCCTCTTCTCTTAGAAATTTAGCCCATCATCTGATTCAGTTACATAATATAGTAGACCTCTGTAAATTGACCACCCCAAGGATTATAACAAACTGGTCAACATACGGAGGTGGTCAACATAAGGAACTTGGCCTGCTGTACTGATATGTACGTGTGGTGCATGTCTGGTCTATGAAAAGTAGGTCAACTTGAGATGATCAACTTTTCTACCTATGCTTGTGGAATATTATTTATAATGTCTTAAAAATAGCTTAAGCTTTTGACTAGGTGTAAAGCCAGATTATTTTTTATTAAAGGATAAATCTCCATCTCTAATAATAGGGACAGATAAGTTTCATAAGTCCTCTTGCTTAGAGAGAGGACTAAGTTTCACTGTTCATCAGGAATATAAAATCTCTGATTTTTACTAATTTATAGTAGTTAGAACTAGAATTCTACTAAATTCTTGAGTATTGAATGAAGGGGAAGAAGACAAGTGTAGCTAGCCTTTCCCAGCTCACGTACGGTACATACAAAACATACCTCGAGCATTTGGAACCTGGGAAAGAGGAATGTGTAGATTTTTGTTGTCGGGGTGCATGTGTTTATGTGTGAATGATACTTCAAGAGTGATACATTTTCATGTGGGTGGAGATAATCTCTCTTCTTTTCCTTTTCAGGAACATCTAATTTTCACAGTATGTTTATCATATCAGTACTCAGGATTGGAAGATACTGTAGAGGAAAAGCAGGAGGTGAATGTTGGGAAACCTCTCATTGCTAAATTAGACATCCATCGAGGTCTGGGGAGGAAGACTTGCTTTCAGACTTGTCTTATGTCTAATGGCCCTTATCAGAGCTCTCCATCCCCTTCGGGAGGAGCAGGACGTTACCACTCATCTCACGACTCGTTCCATGGTGTTTACCATTCACATCTTGGTAATTCACATAATGTTCTGCCATCAGATATTTGTCATTGCAGCCGGACTCCAGATGCATTTATTTCAAGTTACCGTGCTCACCATTATTCATGCCAGTTTGGTAGAAGTAATGTGCCAGTAGAGACAACTGATGAAATGCCATTTAGTTTCTCTGACATACTCAGAATTTCTGAAAAGTGATCTTGTTTTTTGAAGTTATCATAATTATTAGATTCCTCATATGAAATAGTACTGTACTTACATTAAAATGAAGCATCCTGAAAAGGCAAAGGTGAATATATAGAGAAGGAGAAAATTAGTAACAACTGTTTTATACCAACTGTTTTATAGTTGGTATATTATTTAATCACTTCTTTCTCTTCTAATATTTTGTAAGTTGGTTTATCTGTTTTATAAGAATGAAGTATGGGTGTGTATGTGTATATGTGTAAATAACAAAGATATTTTCATTTTGACCACTCTAAAGTAAGAGCGATGGGGATGGCATTATTGTAGAATAAGTATATTGTATTTTTAGCACCAGAAAGAACCTTGCTGATCATCAGGCTTAACAACTAGTTTTATTAGGGGGAGAAATAGATAGAGGCATCTTATCTGAATTAGTGCACTAACACTGAGACCTCCAGAATTCTATTCCATATTTTTTCCACTACACGCTGCCTTCCTGGCAGATGTTGACAAGGTGGTATTTTTGTAGATAAATTGGAATATATTTATACATATAAATATATGGATATATGTATCTGTGTATTGATTCTAAGAATGTACAAATTTTAGTTTGTGATTATATGACTTTGCTTGAAGTGTCAGTTGAGAGGTTTGTATATAAATCTTATGTAGAACAGGCTGAATTTTTTTGTTTATAAGATTATGATAGCCCAAGAGAGGCTACGAAATGTTTGTCTATGTTAAATCTAAATAGCAAAGGTTAAGAATCAAGATATAATTGGATAATTTTGATAGGCTGCTTATCTGGATCTTTCTAACATCAAAGGCATTTTCCTTGATAACATGTATTTTTCTTCTTCAGTTTTACTGGCCTTATGAAATAATTTTCTTTTCACCGTTGGTTCTGTCTCAAAGCAGGCAAAAAAGGTAATTTGACAATAACAAATTTAAAAGATTAAATTAGTAATTTTTAAAGTCTTACAAAGAAAATCCGAGGCCTAGATGGCTTCACTGCTAAATTCTACCAGACGTTAAAATTAACCTCAATTCTTTGCAAACTCTTCCTAGAAACAAAAGAGGACACTTTCCAACCCATCCTTGGAGGCAATGTGAACCTAATACCAACCCAAACAAAACAGCACAAGAAAACTGCAAACTAGTACTTCTTACAAATACAGATAGAAAAATATTAACGAAATACTAGCTACTGAATACAGGAACATATTTTTAAGTGATTATACATCATGACCAAGTAAAATTTATTCCAAGAATTCAAGGTTGGTTTAACATCCAAAAATTAAGTAGGTTAGTATACAATCAATTCTCAACATTCACAGTAGTTAATGTTCTATGTATGAACTGACCATAAACCCTGAATTAGTGAATAAGAAACCATTGCTTTTAGAAGAGTGTGTGTATATATGTCACACATAGATTATGAGTTTAAACCCTAAAAACAACTTATTCTGGTAGATTTCCATTATTTTTATTTTACAAAAGTGAAAGTGAAGTGCAGAAATGTAAGTGACCTGCCTGAGGCCATCCTAACAACAGGTGCCAGAGTTGGAATTCAAGTCCCATCCATCTGTCTCCAGAATGAGAGTTTCTTGTACTATACTGAATTGCCCCTGCCATCTCCATCACTGGCCATCTCTCTGAGAGCTGAAACAAGAACGCAAAATATCTCTTTGACTTTAGCTGGAAACATGGTGTTGGGTGACTCAAATTTTTTACCAGTCTACACATGTCCCTGAATGACTGCAAAATGACCCAAATATTGATTTGAGGGTTATAAACAAATTTTAGCAAGTCAGTAAATTCACAAACATATAATCATAAATAATAAGGATCAAATATACCATACTAATAAAACACAAAGCCTACATTGTCTTAATAGTTGCAGAAAAAGCATTAGATAAAATCTAACACCTTTCATAATAAAACATTCAACAAACTAGGAATAAAAGGGATCTTCCTAAACATGACAAAACATGTATGAAAAACCCACACCTAACATCGGAGTTTATGGTGACAGACTGGAGACTGAATGTTTTCACTTTAAGATCAGGAATGAGACAAGGATGTTCACACTGATCTCTTACATTCAGCATTGTACTTGAGGTTCTAGCCAAGGCATTTAGTCAAGAAAAAGAAATAAAAGCCATCTTTACTGAAAAAGAAGTGAAAACTTTATGTATTCACAGTTGACATATAAAAAGAAAATCCTAAGGAATTAATTTAAAAACTAATTAATGAGTCCACAACAGGTTACAGGGTAAAAGATCAGTATACAAAAATCAGTTTCATTTCTGTGCTAGCAACAAACATTCTGAAAGTTGAGATTAAGAAAATTCTATTTATGGCTGGGCATGGTGGCTCACGCCTATAATCCTAGCACTTTGGGAAGCTACAGCAGGTAGATTGCTTGAGCTTGGGAGTTGCTCAAGACCAGCTTGAGTAAGATCAAGACCCCATCTCTATTTTTTAAAAAGTGAGAAAAAACTAGCCAGGTGTGGTGAGCACCTGTAGTCCCAGATACTTGGGAGGCTGAGGCTAAGGGAAGAGGATTGCCTAAGCCCAAGAGTGTGAGGTTGCTGTGAGCTGTAATGATGCCATAGCCTTCTATCCAGGGTCACAGAATGAGACTCTGTCTTCAAAAAATTTTTTAAATTCTATTTACAATAGCATTAAGAAAAATAATGCTATAAAATTTCCTTAATTTCTTTATTGTTGAAAGAAAGAAGATCCAAATTAATAGAAAGATACACATGTTCATGGATTGGAAGACCTGACGTTAAGATGGCAGGGCTGCCCAAATTGGTCTACAGACTCAACACGGTTCCTGTCAAAATCCCAACTGAAAGTTTTGCAGAAATTGACAAACTGATGATAAAATTGATGTGGAAATACAAGGGACCCATAATAACCCAAACTATCTTAAGAACAGGGCTTACTGTTACCAATTTAAAAACTTACTACAGAGCTAAACTAAGACAGTTCAGGCCTATGGGTAGACATAGATCAAAAGAACAGAAGATAGTGCAGAAATAAACCCACACGTTACTGAACTGATTTTCATCAGGGGTGCCAATACCATTCAATGGGAAAAGAGTTGTCTTTTCAACAAATGATTCTGGGACAACTGGTGGCTGCATCAACACAAGAGGGTCCCCACCTTATACCACTTAGAAATTTAACTCAAAATGGACCATAGGCCTAGATAGAAGAGATAAAACTCTTAGAAGAAAACATGAAAGTGACCTCAGGCAAAGCAATGGTTTCTTAGTCACAGCACCAAAAACACAAGCAACAAAGGAAAGAATTGACAAATGGGACGCCATCAAAATTAACTTTTGTGCCTTGAGGGACACCATTAAGAAAGTGAAAAGACGATTCTCAGAATGGCAGGAAAATTCATGGATCGGATAAGGGACTTGCATCCAGAATACATAGAGGATTCTTACAGTAATAAAAAGGTATATGCACACATGCTTAATTGTGGTTACTGCAGAGCAGGCTTAATTTAAATAGCCACATGTAACTTGTGGTTTCCATACTGGACTATGCAGATATCACAAATGGACTAGAAGTTAGGGTAAGGGAAATTGTTTTAACTTTCACTTTATACCCTTCTGTATATTTGAATTTTATAATCTAATCACGTATCATATTTAGAATTTTTTAACTAGTTTTTAAGAAAAGAATGGTACAAGTTTTTTTTATCAGCCATGTTTTTATTTTACTTGGATTTCTTATGACATTTGCTTTGTAGTATTAGGATAGGATTTACACATACTTGGAATTAAGGGTGGTAATCAAGGCCAGGCACAGTGGCTCACACCTATAATCCAAGCACTCTGGGAGGCCGAGGCAGGTGGATTCCCTGAGCTCACAGGTTGGAGACCAGCCTGGGCAAGAGCAAGACCCCATCTCTAAAAATAGCCACGCATAGGGAGGTGCCTGTAGTTCAAGGAGTAGAGCACCGGCCCCATATACAGGAGGTGAAGGGTTCAAGCCCAGCCCCTGCCAAAAACTGCAAAAAAAAGCTACACATTGTGGCAGGCACCTGTAGTCCCAGCTACTTGAGAGGCTGAGGCAAGAGAATCACCTGAGCCCAAGAATTTGAGGTTGCTGTGAGCTGTGATTTCAGAGCACTCAACCAAGGGTAACAAGTGAGACTCTGTCTCAAAAAAAAAAAAGGGGTGGTGGTGGTAATCCATCAATCCCAGTTAGAATGTAAGGAAGAAATTAGTCTAGTAGATGTTTGAGCAATTAAAGGCCCACCTAAATCCAAAGCCAATATTTGACACTGGGGATAGGGGTTGTATTATTTTTTGTGAGGTAATTTTTAAAAATTATAAGGTAGCGGCTCGGCGCCTATAGCTCAACTGGCTAAGGCGCCAGCCACGTACACCTAAGGTGGCGGGTTCGAATCCCCAGCCCGGACCCGCCAAAAACAACAATGAGGGCTGCAACCAAAAAATAGCCGGGCGTTGCGGCGGGCGCCTGTGGTCCCAGCTACTTGGGAGGCGGAGGCAGGAGACTCGCTTGAGCCCAGGAGTTGGAGGTTGCTGTGAGCTGTAATGCCACGGCACTCTACCCAAGGGGGACAGCTTGAGGCTCTGTCTCAAAAAAAAAAAAAAAAAAAAAAAAAATTATAAGGTAGCAATTATAAATTACGTCTTCTAATAAAAGAAAAACCAAATACATGGAATTATTTGAATGTAAAACACCGAATTATTATTCATCCAGTGAATGGGTCAAAACATGTTTACCAAAGAAAAGTCTTTCAAGAAGAATACTAGCACAGAAAGTGCTAGTGCATTTAGACATTGCCGTCTTCACCTCCCGTGTTTATTACTTCTCAGATCTCTGACAACAATGAGGTGGCCTTGTCACTCATCACAATTTTTGGACTTGTCATATTGAAGAAATTGAAACATGACCAGACGTAGATCATTAACACACATATCAGCATAAATGTAATGTCAGGATAAAATCTGAATTTTTGCTTTAAAAAATACATGGCCTAATAAACTTGTTTCCTGTTACTTGAACATTCCCCTGATAGTGTATAGGATCATTTAACTGTCAGGTAATGCCAGATACTCAGAATTTACACATTGCCTTTGTGCATTTCATCCTGTTTCTCACATCATCATTGACATTCAAAGTATGTCATGGTGAATTTTATCCAGGTTCTAACTAAAATATATTTTATCTCTTGCCCCTTGAATTATGACATATTTCTCATATTAATATTAGTAAGGAAAAAATATACCCAGAACATAAGAATGCCTATAAATGTGCATATTTTTTCCAAGTTGACAGCATTAAGAATACTTCAGCATCAGACACAAAGTTTGTGTTTGCTGTGGAAGAGCCTGTTTCAGCATTTAAGCGTGGCTTAAAGTGTGTTACTTGTCTGTCTTTCTCTTTTCCTTATCTGTAAAATGATGATTCAACATCAAAGGGCTTTGTAATACCTTACAGAGCTGGCTTTATTTCTATAAAGTGCCAGCTGTTTGAAAAGGATCAGCATTGTTTTGCAAATTCCAGCTTTTCAAAACCATACCTGTAAACAGTACAGAGCGCATTTCTTGTTAAAGTCCTCCTGCAAAGTATTTTCCTAGTCTTGGCAATGTATATTTTTTAAAAGTTGCAATTTTATTCACTCTAAAATCACTTTTCATTTGCATGCAGATTTAAGGTCACCAGTTAGAATTATATAAGATACCTACCCCCAAAAAAACTGCTCTAAAAAGTGATTTACTGAAAAATTAACGGCTCTCTCATGGATTATTTTTCTTTGTTTACCTGTATTTTCCACATTTTATCCAGTGAACAACTGTTATATATTATTTTTAAATATATATATGCATAGTTGTATAATGTACAAGTTATTGTTAAGTGTCAATAAATTTGTTTTTAGAACATGTTTAACTTTCGTATGAACAACATTAAATTTAAAAGTACACAGCAAAGCTCATGTTGGCAGCACATATACTAAAATTGGAACAATACAGAGATTAGCATGACCCCTGAACAAGGATGACATGCACATTTCATGGGGCATTTTGTATTTTTTAAAAATTTAAAAAGTAGGCTCAATGCCTATAGCTCAACCGGCTAAGGCGCCAGCCACGTACACCTAAGGTGG